AATATGACGGTTCTTGCGCTCCGATACTCCATTTTGTTGAGGAGTACCGGGACAAGATCTCTGGGACTGAATGCCATGTTGTTTAAGATAGGTTTGAAACTCACCATCCTTACCATCATAATACTCTCCCCCTGAATCTGACCTCAAAATATTTATGGTGCTTTTAAATTGGGTCATTACCATAGCATGAAAGTTTTTAAACATGGAGAAGACTTTTGATTTCTTTCGAAGAAAGTAAACCCATGTGTAACAAGTACAGTCATCAATGAATAAGATAAAAAGGTGTAGATGACTGGAGACGACCACACATCACTATGAATGAGATAAAAAGGTGTAGATGCATGTTCAGTAGAATATGGAAAAGGTAAAACATGACTTTTACTATAGCAGCAAGTTAAACAAGATTTATTAATATTCTTGACTGAAGTAGTATTCAGAGGTAAATAGCCAGAGGAAAACAAATAATCCAAATTCTTAGCATGAGTGTGGCCTAAACATCTATGCCATAAATGCCACACATTATTACATGAAGAAATAGAAGAACAAGGAGAAACAGATAGCAAACAAGAATCCGATGAAGATCTCTTAGCCTTGAATTCCAAAGCAAACAGCCTCCCAAGCCTGCACCCCTTCTCCTTCAGCTCTTTAGTGTGCTGGTCCTGAATGAAACAATCATCATGAGTAAATAAAACATTATTACCTTCATCAACAAGTTGTCGTACAAATATTAAACTAGTAGTCAATTTAGGGACAAAAAGAGTTTTGGGAAGATGAAAGCGTTTGGTCTGAGAAGTGGATAAGAACAAATCATTACAACCATATACAAGTAAAGAATCACCATTGGCAGTAATAATATGGTTGTCAAAGAATCTAGGCTTAGGAGATTGACCAAAGGAGGCCCTAGTCATGTGATTTGAGGCCCCTAAATCAATAATCCACATGTGACACAGGGATGAACACATAAAAGCAGACTTACCAGCTAGACCAAAAGTAGAAAAGCAGAAGAAATAGCTGGAGACATAAGCTCATGGATCCTTTCTTCATTCAGATTTCCTTGGGCATCTGACTTGTGGGCTGATGATGAGGTGGCAGCATCAGTGGTAGCAGATTCGGTTGAGGCCTGATAAGCCTTATGCTGTCCCTTCTTAGGAGGCCTAGTCGGACATTCCACAATGATATGTCCTTGTTGTTTGCAGCAAGTACAGAAGTTCTTCTTGCAGTGGGACGCTACGTGACCAAATTCCTTACATTCATAACATTGCAACTTCGAGAAGTCTTTCTTACCCTTCTGCTTGGTTTCTAAGAACACAGTATCAATCCCATGTTCCTTCTTCTAATCAAGTGCAGATAAAGTAAGAAGACGTGTTTCCTCCCGTTACAACTCTCCAAGAATTGCATCTAGTTCAGGGACTGGTTCTCTACTGAGAATGCTAGAGCATCGGGTTTCATAGTCAGGTCTGAGATGCATCAAGAAATGCATGGTCTTCCTCTTAGTAAGATGCTTCTTCATGGACTTCACACAACAATTTGTAGAAAGATCCCCAAAGCGAGCTAATTCATATTCTTTCCAAAGGTTTATAAATCCTGCATAGTATTCCCGAATCCTCTTCTCCCCTTAAACATAGGAGAAGATATCGATTTCGATCTGATATTGCCTAGACATGTTCGATTGCTGATATACCTTTTCTAGGTATTCGAACATGTCATGGGCAGATTTGAGACCCCTTATCGGGATATTGACATCCATTGAGATAGACCCAAGTATCCATGATGTAACCTGAGCATTTTCGGTTCTCCACTGTTTCAGCCCTTTCAACAAAGTACTGAAAATGAAATTTTCAGAGAGCATAGTTTCTCCCATCAAACTTGACGGAAATGAATTCACTCTTTTCCAAAGCCATAAGTCACCAGAAATCGTCCAAGATTCAGCAAAAGACAAAAAACTTGGAACACAATCTAGAAAAGGAAAGTCTGGGTGCAGCCGCCCAGAAGAAATGTATAGATCTCTCTTAGATCGATCTGGATGATATTTTCAGAGTATGATGAGAGGGCCTAGGCGACACTTCCTTTCAAATCTCACTGCAAACGGAAGTCGTATGAGAGAGATCTAATAAAATCTCTCTCTTAGGATATGCAAAATAGAGAAAATTGATCTTTGGATAGATCAAAACAATCCAGATTCAATCGGCAGTAACAACAGATGTCACACTGATCAAAGAGAGGAGAAAAGGATAAGAGAGTAGCCTGCTTTGATACCATGTCAGCTTGAGAAAGAGAGAGAGAGTAGAGAGGAAGACAAAAGTCCAGATCTGTTAGGGTTGATCAGTCAGATCGAAGCAACCCAGAAAAGATGTATTTATATTAAACTTGAAAAAATAAAGTATAGAACAGTAAAATTACAAAACTACCCTTCAGTAGTTCTTCTACATGTTCGACAATGGAGAGGCGGGTCCTCTGTACTGCGTCTGGTGCAGGTGCAAGGTTGGCTCTAGAGGGGTGTTCAGTTACTCCAGGATTCAAGCCTCCAAGGTGGTTAGCAGCAGCGGGTGTAGAAGGGCCGGTAGGGGTGAATGGGGAACATTTAGTTGCCGTTGTTTTCTGTAGGAGTAGTTGTAGGGTATTCCTCATCTCGGCTTACATTTGCTCCAGGCGGTCGAAATGGGTTTCGAAGTCGTACACTTTGTTGGCTAGGATCTCGATATTGGCTTGGTCAGTGGTTTCTTGGCCAACTTGGTCCTCAACTTCCAAGTTAGCACTCTCGAAGTTGTTGAGCTGTTCTTCTGGGACAGGGGAAAGGTTGATTCTACGAGTGGCCATCCTCCATGATCAAGGATGGACCAGAGATTCTAATGTAAGTGGTGTGGTAAGGCAAAGTGTCATGGTCTCCTTAAAGGACGAAGAAAGGCTAGGGGTCTCAGGTAACAGAAGTAGGCAAGGACCCTCTATTGACAGAATTTTGTGTTTGTTATGGTCTACACTCCTTTTTATAAGGGGAGGTCTTGAGGCCATGGAGGGAAGGAGCCAAAAGGGATTTGACTCCTATTTGGAAAGGGGACTTTTGATTCGATATCGGTTATCAGGACGCTCCTGGGGGTTCACCACGTGTCATACGAGATCTTTCCAGGACGAAGTTTCCTTTCGTCCGAGGATTCTCTTAGTGCATGGCGTGGGTGACGTTAGAGCTAGTTCGATGTGTAGGCTTACTTGTTCCGTCATCAGCTGGTTGTTTCATCGCGAATAGTTTTGGCTTGTTATAGACGCACGGTGTTTCTTAAGTGTATCGCAGGTCTGCGATGTTCTTGATCTCATCGCATGTCCGTGACATGTTATGGGCTCATCGCAGATCCGCATTGGCCTGCGTGTCGCCATGGGTGTTTCTGTGGTTCCGATTTGGTACCTTCATTGCAATCGCAGTCGCGGTGAACAACATGCACTTACAGGTTCCCTTCCTGGAGATTCACTCATTATTCTTTAACACTCTCCAACTACCAAGCATCTCAAAATTTGCCTCACCTTTTAATCTGTCTTTCCTCAAGTGCTTTGTCAATGCACAATGAGTGTGCTTAATAGAAAGGTCGCTATATGTACAACTTTGAAGGCTTGAAACTTGTGGTCTTGTCCCACATTGTGATGTGCTGCTTGATCCAATGGTTTGTGTGGGGATGAAAATTGCCTAAAATAGGGTTTAGGGATGCTTTTTTGGTGTAAAGAAGGGACTAGTTAGGGTTGGGAGGATTTTGGGTTAAATTATTGCAGATTCTCTTTGGGCTGTGAAAAATTTAGAAAATCTAGAAAACAGATCTACGGTTAGATTTTTGTAATGAAACTCTGTAGGTAGGTTTAGAATGAATTGTAGGGATTGAGTTAATTTGAGGAGATGCGGAGAAGGTTTTGTCCGAAAAGACAAAATATCTGGGGTGACAAAAATTTGAGAGACTATGTAGATTAGGGTTATTGTTAGAATTTTCCATAATTGTCAAGGAGACATCTAGGTGAGTGCAAAGGTGGTAAGGCATTTTTTTGGGATTGCATTGTTTCTTGAATTGGTATTTCCAGATGTAATGTAAGGTGTGGTATTTCAGGAACGGTGCAGTTAAACCATATCATATGGTAAAGGTAAAAAAGTGTAAACAACGTTGTAAAAATGGGCTTTGCCACTTCTTTGCTCCTTTTTTTTGACCCTCTACAATCTTTTGTTACTATCTTTCTAAATGTAACCAGAACGTAGGCTCTACTCTTTCATTTTCTTTACAACTAACCTACTTGCATATTCTCTCCCTCCATATCTTTGTTGCGTACTTGCATTCAAAATAACAAGGGTCCATCCCTTGTTACACTTCTGTCACACTCAAACTTAAACTTAAACAAACTAAAAGAACTTCTAAACTACTTAACATATGGATCTGAAATTTTAAACATAAATTAACTATGACTAGACAAATGAGGCTCTACTCTTTCATTTTTTTCCTCTTCTTTGCAATTAATAATCTCTTCATATCTTTCTCTATTCATTTGGCATTTTTTATGTTCATTATCTTGTTAAATAGTTTAGTTATATCCATGATAGACTTACTCTCCTATACTTTTCCAAACTTTTATTTGGATACCATCATGCTGTAACACTTTCCCTTCATCTTATTTAACACCTCCTGCAATTTGGAAGCTCTAATTTTATGAAGGTACACATGATTTTTAGTAGCTTTAGCATTACTAATACCTTCTCCACAAATGTCCTTTAGTTTTTCATTTAATAATTTCCTCATCTTTTTATCAAGTCTTTTTGATCTTCTGCTTTAATGCATTTAACATGATTTAAATATTTTCTTTTCTTTCTTCATCTTTGTGCGTTTATATAGTCCATTTTATCACTCATTAATGCCTAGTTTATGAAGAGATATGCCCCCTTTACTAAAAATGTGTGCTCTAATCACAACTCTTCTCTGTGGTTTTATATACTTGTACAAAGTGGAAATTTATTCTTGTCTAATAATCCAGCGCAGGGAATACTCATTGCCAGTAGAATGCAAATGATGGCCAACTCAATGCTGGATCTACATGCATTACTTGAGGTAAGATGTTTTTCCCTGCTGACTTGTGGTTGTTATGTGCCTGTTTTGTCAAGGCATATAACCTTAAATGCATGATCTTACATGAAATTGAGATAATATACGATCCACTTGACTGAATTGATCACAATTAAGAAAATATTTTAGTGATCTGAATGCCTTGGTTGAGGTACAAGTTGGATTTGGGTCGCATTGGAGGGCTTCCTCCTTGGATTGGGTATGGTTGAATCCAACTCAGCATGGCTAGAATTCCATCCTTATTGCACGCTAAGGCCATCCTTTCTGTTGAAGGTGAGGTTTGAAATTGTTTCTCTACTTTAACCATGCTTTTTTGGGTCTTGTTCTTTCGTTTATTGGGGCCCTAACTTTCACCAGAGCATTCCTTACCAAGTGCTGAAATGGTCTTTTTTCCCTGCAGTTGACCAAACCATTTTAGTTGTTTCTTCTTTAACCTGTCAACCCTTTTTTTTTGGATAAGGATGAATATATTTTATAATATTGTAAAGTGTAAATGAGGTGGAAGGGGAAGAGTATGCGGTACAAAAAATAACATGGTCATGTATCAAAACTCATACACAGGATTTAGAAGTTGTCGCCAAAGGAAGAATTGAAACATGGTATAATTCCAAGATTTTGAGATTTCTCCATAGATGATATGGTCTGTCGTTGGACTCATGTTGGTAGCTCTTCTACTTCTTGCATGCTCAAAGCTGGTTTTCTCTCCTTAGTGAGTGGTGAAGCTAAGTTCTTATAACTGCTCCTTAGGAATCCTAGTCTATCTGGACAGGGGAAGCTTTTCGAGATGCAGCAGGTGATATCTTATTGGCTTTTTTTTGAAGTCTCATTGAATTTAGAGATTTGTTCTTCAAACTGAGGTTGAATTGTTGATTCAGGGTCTTAGGCTGATAGGTTCTATTGGTCCAAAGTAGATGGAAATTGTGGGTGCTTCAAAGGTTGTTATTGGCTGGTTTATAGACAGATATGAGGGACATTGGATTTTTTGGCCTATTTCAGAGATGCAAGAGCTCTAACATCTATAATGAAAATCTTGTCCAAAATCCCAGATGGAGAAGGAGCATGCAAACTGTTTTCGCAGATAGCCAAACTAGAGGAGGTGCAAGGAGAATGAAGTATTGAGAAGCATCCTTCTTAGGATAGATCCCTTGTTAGGTGGATTAGATGTTTATTGTTCTTTTCTTAATGGTAGATGGATTTAAGGTTGTGTGGTTGAAATAATTAGTTGTGGCCTTGTTGAGGAATTTGGGAGCGAAGCAAGGAAATGAGGGATTTGATGAACTTTGGAATACAAGAAATTTACAAAGGGGAGAATTGAGCCTATTTTATCTTGTGAGGTATCAGAAGTGTTGGGTGGAAAAAGGATAATAATCTTGTAAGATGAATTTGTTGTTTTTGGATTTCCAGTGGTTGCAGTTTTCTTCAAAGGAGAGTGCATTTCAGAAGAGATACATTGAGGATATTTCCATGATGTTTCCTTGTCATGCAGGGGATAGTCTATCCTGAAAATTTAAGTTGCTGAAAGCTATTTAATAGTTTGTGGTTGGCCTATTTAAACATCATGGTTAATACTTGAGAGTGTTTCCTCTACAGTCTTTCATTGTAATCTGATTGTAGTCTTTTCCTTCTTATAAATTTTCTTGGCATCTCATTATAAAATTCTCTCTTTAACTTGGCTACTGATCATGAAAAACAAAAAAGAAGAGTTCGTATTCAATAATGAACTTTGGCTTATTATGAATTTCTATTTTGTGTTTTGGAACTTGGCCATACATTCACCCCAAAATATTTTTGGCTCAGGTTTTCCTTTTTCCTAAATGACTAATGACTGGCCATTCATTCTCCCCATACATGCCCTAATCTTATTGCCATCTTATTTGGTTTTGACCAATTCATTAATTCACTTTAATGATGTGGCATTCTAAAGGCATGATTCCATCTTGACCGCAAATTTGCACTCTATTTGCATCCTCCTTTTCCTCTTGCTATGACAGCATGTAGGGATTGGTATTGATAGGGTCAGCATAGCTTGACTCTGACCCTGTTGAACTAGACTCCAACCTTAACTTCTTATTTCTTTTCTTGCACTTTCCTTCTGCTCTATACCTCATGGTTTTATTTTTTTGGGATGATTGATATAGCCATAGAAACTATAGGAATCCTGCTAGAAATTGATTTAGACAATAATATTCAAGGGGTGTCAAATAGGGCATAAAAGGGACTACTGGCTCACATTCAAAGTTTGACCCATTCCATGCCTCTATTTAGCATGTTTGGATCATAACCAAGCACCCACATTTTTAAATTTATCCGACTGGATCCAATAATATGGACTCAACTAGAATCTGGACTTGGTATTTGGATCCCAGTGTATGTATTTTCCTTTTTGATCTACTAAACGTGTGGACAAATTGTGTATGAATCCAGCCAATGAGGTCTGTGTAGTATTTGGACCTGGACTTGATACCATTTCCAATTTGGATCTGGACCTTCTCATGATCTGATCCGTTTCATTCCCTCCAGAAGTTTCAAAATCTATCCCTAAGGAGTGCTTTTATTATTTATTATTTATTATTATTATTATAACCATAACAATGATATTATTATTTCCAATTTGAATCTGCTAGGGAGTTAGCAGATCTTGGGATCAAGGTAAATGAAGTGTTCATGCTGACCTCCCAAGTCCTAGATTCCCTATATTAATATGCAATGACTAAAAGAATACCCTTGTTAAGTAGGAGTCTGGGACAAATAAAAGGAAAAAATTATAAAAAGAATAACAATGATCCTACGCTATAAAGTTATGGTACTATGATACATCATATGCATAGTGATATGAATATCTGAGGATGCACATTACACATAAAATACATCATCAAATATCTACATTTACTACTTCACAGTTTTTAGCTTGTCCTATGTTTTGGCTGGAACTGTAATTAATGTGCTAATCTTATGGTAATTTGCAGGTTCCTATCAAAAGGGAGAGACTAAAGTCCCTCTGTCAAATGGTTGTTTTAATGAAAGTAAGGGTTGTTTCAGTTTTGATCCCATACTGTAAAAGCTTTTGCCAAATTTCTGTACCCACACGTATTAGTGAGAGTTCAGTAGGAGAGGAGATCAGCTAATGAGCTGGCAGACTTTCTAGCTAAGCAAGGGGTGCATAGGGATCATTTATTCTGGGCTCATTTGTAATTTTGTTTTGTTTTGGGGCCGCAGCTCGTGCCTCTTTATGGATATTTTATGCCGTATCCTCTAATAGTTCTCATTTAATCTTTAATAAAATGCTTCTAATTACTTATCAAAACAAAAAATCTGTACCCACACATTGCCCATTTTATGTAGGTGGTGGAGAGTGCATTTCATAACAAGGAGTTGGACATCATCAAAAGTCTTCCTCATATTATAAGTTTTATCCAGGCAGACATTGAACAGTTCTTCCTTAGGGCAAAGGTTTTCAGCTACTTAAAAGGGAAATGTGCTGATTCATTTTTTACAGTTTGATCTCTCTGACTGAATATATTTTTCAATAATGGTTTTTACTTATTATTATTCGTAGGATGAACTAGAGTCAGAAATTGCCAAGGGAAGTCAAGTTGGCAAGATGAGGTTTTTGAGCTCTCTCACACGTGGTATGGTATTTGCAATTATTGTGGTGCTTTCTATTTAAATTTCATTTGTATGCATGTTTGAGCTACTGGTCTAGGCATGGAAAAACAATCTTTAACAATATGAAGAAGCAGTTCTTGTGTGGGCACATCTGCACATGGAAAAATATAGAAGAATTAATGAAGTTCTCTAGGGCCAAAATGGCAACATTAATTTGCAAAGGAAGTATTGATGAAATAAGAGAGTATTTCTTTTTGATAATGAAGTTCCAATGTCTCATGATGTTGTCAAATCTAATATATTTTTTTTGGACAGTAAAGCTTGTAAATGATTGATTTGGGAAAGAAGAAATTATGAGTTCTTAGCTTATGTTCCAAAATGGTTTCTGAGTAGTTATAAGCTCTATGATCACTATCCCAATAGCAAAAACGTTGCTCTCCTTGAGATAGGGCAATCTATGTTCATTTGAATCTGGTAATATGCCATTGTTTTTCATAGGGTTCTTTCTTTGTACCATGAATGATGTTTCCCTAATACTTCTCAATCTTTTAAATTATTTTGCATGCATATCAATGCATGTGTTCACCTTTGTAATCATTAATGCCTTCCATCTATGTGGCACAACTCCTTGTATGGGCACTTTATTTTGATGTAGCATTTACACATGGAGAGGGACTGTTGCTTGGTATAATGGTCTTGGCTTGACAAGCATGAAGTTGCCAATATGGACAGAGGGCAGATCTTTCCATGTGAATAAAGAGCACATATGGACACAAAATTTGGCTTATTTATTGTCTTAGCCTCTGGTACTATGGTGCATTATAGCTGATGGCATGTGTATATAATAAAAGCCAACCATATGGCCTCAGTGATCAATTTCAAATTTCATTTTAACCTTTGCAATATGTATTGAGTCCTAGTCCTACTTTCCTACTACTGCCTACCTCATATAACATTGGGGGGGGGGGGCGTTATGCCACAGGTAGTAACTTGTCAAATTCATGAGTTGGTGGTAAGTTTATCGAGAGGGTGGGTGGGAGAGTTGTGGCTATATGAGGTAGGCTTTACAGTAGCATTTGCTGTATGTTTTATGATATTTTAAGCAGAAGTTATCCATGAAATCATACCAAAGAGCTATATTTCCACCTCAAGAAGATAGAAATTGCCTCACCTAACCCCCTAGTTGGGGACTTCCTTGTGAAAGACATTTGGAGTAACAAGCTCTCTACTAGGAAATCTTCCTTGGTAAGGTAAATACTTGTGATATGCTGTAGAGAAGGCCATATGCTTGCCTTTCTCATCATATGTGCTCCTTTTGTAAGGAAAGTGGTGAAACCCTATCTCATTTATTAGTCTCTTGTACATTCGTGCATCAAATTTGGGAGTTCTTTTGTGTTCTCTTTGGCTGCAGGTGGGTTCCCTCTCAAGATGTGGTGGGCCTTTTCAACCCTGACATTATGAGGCAACCAAAGAAAAGGGGGATGGTAATGTGGAGAGCTATGTAGGCAGCAATTTGCTGGGTGGTATGGGAAGAAAGGAATAACAGGATCTTCTTGGAGAAAAGCAGATCACTAGAGGAAGTAATAGACACCATAAAGGTGAAAGTAGCTCACTGGATAAAACTTTGGACAACTTCCAAGATTTTTCAGTCACAGACATCCTAAGAGTCTGGACCGAAGTAGCCCAATGTTCGAGAGTAAAAGACAAATAAGGGTGGAGTGTAAACCTCTAGAAGGCAACAAAATCAAACTGAACTTGGATGAGAGCTCTCTTGAAAACCTGGGATTGTCAGGTATAGGAGGAGTAATTAGAAATTCTGAAAGGAGGATACTGGCTTTATTCTCAGGACTGATTAGCACCGGAAATTCATTGGAGGCTGAACTATTTGGCATTGCTACAAGGTTTGAAGCTAGCTAAACAGTTGGGATTTAGGCATATTGAGGTGGAAGGAGACTCAAAAGTGGTCATTTCATGTGCAAGATCCAACAAACTTACCCCTTGGACTTTCAAACATATGATTAGGGAAGTGGAAAAGATTGCAAAGGATGTAGTGGCTGATTTCAAATGGGTCAGAAAAAGTGCAAATGGGCTAGTTGATTCCCTTACCAAACAAGGGGTGTTGAGGCATCAACTATTTTGGGCAGATATGTAACTTGAGACTGAAAAGCATACTAAGTTGGGAATGACACTCCCATCACCAAGTTGTACTGATTTGTTTCAATCTTAATTATAAATAAAATATATTTCTTGCTGATAAAAAAAATCTTCATCTTTCCTGCCTTGTCAAAGGTATTTATATCCCACTGTACAAGTATACTGCAATTTTCCCCCTGCTCATCATTTAAAAAGTCATCAACATATATGGATGACTGTGGTTTCATAGTACGCAAGTTAACTTTGTTTTCCTTTTTTCTGTGAACTTGATAAATCCAAATCTCTAATCGGAAAATAGTCATAGATTCAGTTCAAGGAAAAATGGTAACTATCAATAACATTGATGGGTTTTGCCTTGAGAGCCTCAAGTTTTGCTTACTCACCCTAATTGGAAAAGCAAATCTGGTTGACTGATTTATTATATAGCTGGTTGGCACTTGGGAGGCCTTTTCTATTTTTATTTTGTGATGATACATCATAATTTTTTCTTTGTACTGTCTTTTTCCGATGTAACTTATATACTATCTAATGTTAATATTTTATATGTACCATCTTGGATTGGATCTTAATTCTGCTGGAGTTTTTGGGAATTTTTAGAGAGTTTATTGGGGCTGGTTCTTAGTCTTGTTTTTTTTGAAGACAGGGGCTACACAACTGGGGTAGTCCATCCCCCTCCTGGTGGCAACAGGAATAGATCCTGCGTCTCCACTATGTCATAACTGAGAATGTACCAACTGGACCACCAACCAGTTGGTTGGTTTTTGGTCTTGTTTGGAATGGGTGAACCATCCTGATGTATTTTTTTTTGTTTTATTTCTTTTGTATCTTTCTTTCTTTGGTGATCTCTCATCACCTATTGTACTGTTCTTGTTTTTCTTTAATAAATTCCTTATTATTTATCTTAAAAAATGATTTTTGAACATTTGTAGTATGATGATAATGCAAATATATAGCACCATCTGGCTTCCAGTGGGAAAATCTCATTCCACTGGATCTGAAGGTCAGCCAATTGATTTGCTGATTCTATAGCCAGGGGAGGAGTAGGGAGAGAGAAGATGTACTGGCCTTGGCCCTCTTGGGATGGTCCCTAGGTGTACTGGGTGTCCACTTTGAGGTCAGCCCCTTTTTCCCATGTATGCATATCATATATCTTATTGTATTATTCTATTTCTCTAAAGACTAATGGACTACTGTCATCTTTTTACCAACAAAAGAACATATAACCATACCTCAATCTCTCATTTTGGTGTTATTAACAAAAATGAAGACAATATAACAGTGGTAAAAACAGTTACAACAATGCTGCTAGCTATACTAATAATAATCCTCATTTTGATTATTTTCTGTATCCTTGATATTCGGTGGATGAGTCTGATTGATTACGGATTACCTGAGTTGATAAGTGAGCTAGCAATTTTCTTATTCTCGAAATCAAGATTTCTAAAGTTTCTGCACTTTGATTATTTTTAATGTTCTAACCTTATTTTCTGAATTGTCAGACTCTGTAGTCATTTAAATGAACTAATGTTGTTTTGAATTCACTTTTCATTTGAGTTCAGGTAGTAAGGATGTGGAGTCAAGAATGGCATATTCACTTTCCTTGGTAATGCAAAAGTCGTACTACCTGTATTAAAAAATAATTCTTTTTGTTGCATTTTAAATTCTGGGGCAGATAATTTATGAAATTCCAGTGCCTTCTTCTAGTTATTTCTGAATGTTATTTTGTTGTTTCTCATATGACCTGAAAGGCACCAAAAATCAAAGGTGACATGTTTCCACAGCTTGGGTTGGTCCCAGTATTGGTTTCTTTTACTTTTAATAGAATTTAGTTATTAATCTTACAATTAGTAAAAAAATCTTACAACTCAATACTTTACCTTCTTCAAAAAAAAAAAAAAATCTTGCAATTAGTAAAAGACGATGATATTAATTAATGTGGAGGTGCAAGTAGAGAGTCAACAGGATCCAGTAATAACTAAGAACATACAGCAAATACAGTAATAAATTATAAAACCAAGGGTCCATTTGGTTCACAATTGGAATCGGAATCAGAATGGTTTATTCCCATAGCCTGTTTAGTTCAGATGGGAATCGGAATCAGAATTGGAATGAGCTGGAATGGAATTTCATTCCCAAGGGAGGGGGAGGGAAAGACCATTCCACCAGGAATGGGAATGGGATTTCGATTCTGTGCAACCGAACAGTTGGAATTGGAATAGGCCATTCCGATTCCGAATCCAGACCCCTATTCCCACAAACCAAACGGGCCCCAAGATGTTTCTGAATTAATAGAATCTGTGATGTCATTGATAAAAAAATTACAATAACAAAATAAAACAGGGCTTAGTGAGGAACTGAACTTTAAATGGTTATCTGACAAGACATCTGGGATTACTCAATCTCCAGAAAGTCCCAAAAATACAATAAAATGGAAGAACTATAAACCATAAACAGGGAATTAAAAAATGACCCCAATTTCGACTCCATTTAGATGCTGAAATAGTAAATCTTTTCAACTTCAACTCTTGAAAATTCACAGCTAAGATCTGCAGCAACCAGGGTATAATTTCTTGGAATATGTGTGATCTCATAACCAAGAACAACTGGTACCTAGATCAGCATATAACCTTGCTTGCTAGGGTGGGGTTGAGACAGGGGACCTTGTATGGGGGGCTCTGGGCTCTGAGGGTTTAGCTGTATGGCTGCTATGCTCTTTGGTTTTATTTGTATGCTTTAGTCAGCTTCTTAGCTGTATACATTAGGTGTCTCTCGCTTTATTTGAGTAAGGAGTGTTCTTTCTTTCATCTCTCATCAATATATCTCTCTGAACATTGGTTATTGATAAAAAATCCATAAAAGAAGGGATTGAGAAGAGACAGCTATCAAATTAGAGTTGGGTGGATATAATGGGGATGCTCTTTGTTTCCTGATGAGTTTTGTGATACCAACCGATGAAGGGGAAAGCTTATAAGATGACAACTATGATTTAGGGTCAGAATGTTGGGCAATCATGAATTGTTAAGCTGTTTTAAAGAATCTGTTAAGACCTAGACAATGGTAATGGTGATTTTGTTATGGATAAAAAATAATAAAATAGAACAACCACCTGTTGGGAAAATGGTTTTGGAAGTTTGATAACCATCAAAGAGGGTTATGGAAGGAAGTGAATGAAGCCAAGTACATTTGGAGAGAATTGGGTTGGGATCAGGGGTGGTCTCTTCGTCATATGGGTGTGCTGTGTGGAAAGGGACTGAAAAGGCATTACCTGAGTTCATTAAAGGGGTGAAATAAGGATTGGAGATGGTCACAAGTTTTAAGTTTTGGTCACATATTTGGTGTGAGGAAAAACCCTTGAAAGTGGTGTGTCCTCAACTCTTTAACTTAGTTCAGAACAGGAGTGGTTGGTGGATGATAACCATGATTGGAAGATGGTACCTATGCTTGATCTGCTGCAAAAACTGAGCAATGTAGCAATTGAACCATCTCATGTAGACAGAAGGGTTTGGAATTGGGAGAAGTCGGGGGTGTTTTCATCCAAATCTCTCTATAAAAAGATCACAACATCCGATGCAGAGAAGGGAGGTATTAAAGTGAATTGTGATTTATGTGCATTGTGTTCTGAGAACTCTGAATCAGTTGACAACCTATTCATACATTGCAGAACTATTAGAGAGACTGGGGGGATGGGTTAAAAGCCCCTTGAGGTGGAAGGATATTTACTTGAAACTCTGTAAGCTTTTTTCAATAGTTGGCAGGTGAAAGGCTTGAGTAGAAAAATCAGAAGGGGCTATAGTTTGGAAGCTAGCTCCTCTTGTGGTGGTATGGAGTGGAAGAAACTCTAGGATTTTCTTTTGGTGTTCCAAATTCCAGCTAAAGAAAAACAGAATTGAGAAGCTCCAACCTGATTTTTTGTGGGAAGGGGTTGGAGAGTGGAAAAAGCATTTAATTAGTTGGCATCAAGTGTGCAAGCCTAAGGAAGGTGGGAGTCTTGGATTAGGACATGTTAAGGAGAGGAATTTAGCTCTTCTTGAAAAGTGATTGTGGAGATACACTCGTGAACCTGAGGCTGTTTGGACCTCTGTTGTCAACAAGTATGGGAGACATGCCAATGGTTGGAATAGCAAGTTGCAGTTAAACTGGGTGAAACCTACAAATCCTTGGAAAGGTATCTCTTCCACCTACAACTCCTTTATCTCTTTTACTAGATACAGATTGGGAAACAACCTCATCCTAAAGTGTTTTGAAAAGGAAAATTGGATCTTTTATTTTCTCAAAGGGAAAGAATTCTAAAGTGTTTGCTCATCTAACATATCTAACACTTTCATTTAGTAACAAAGACTTAAATAATTCTAGAAGCACAATTTTTAATGACTACAATGACAAATGACCAAGATGACTATGCCATAGATAGGCCTGACTCTTAGTAGACAGACTCGTGGACTTTGAAGATGCAAGACCAACTTTATTCTTCAACATGTAGAGACCATCCACCATACTGCCTCTATGAATCATCCTCTTGAAGGTCAAATCCTGCTAATGGAAAGTAAATTAATAGGCAATTTAGGAACATGCAACACATTAGAAAGAGTGAGACCAAAAGGAAGGGAGATGGTTCATTGACCAGCTATGGTAGAGAGTTACCCATCATCCAATTTCACCTCATTTCTTCTGGAGAGGAGGTTATATGCCTAAAACAAATTGGATTTACCAGTCATATGCTTTGAGGCCCCAAAATCAGTTATCCAAGAAGATTCAAATGTATGAGATGACACATGGAAAGCAATGGCAGAGTTACTTGATGTAGATGCAAAAGAGGTAGAGTGGGGCTAGAATCCATTTGATGAAGTGCCCTATCATACAACTCCATATGGTCACAGAAAGAGTTGATGATCTCTTCCTTGTGATAAAAACCAGAAGGATGTTCCTAAGATGTAATGGGGCTAGTAGTCTCCTGAGATGCCATATTTGCTGAATTATACTCTTTTGGCTTTGCTTGACTGGCTTTTTATTCTGACCAGATGATTTTTTACTCAACTCCTAAGCCCACTTTGGCTTCCCACAAAGATCCCAACAAGTCCCTCTAGTGCGCCTAGATTGTTGACAATGAGTGCACCAAAGTTTATCCTTGTCCTCCATTCTCTTCTGGAAATCACGCTTCTTAAACGAGTTTCTGCCATTCGTATTTGCACCTTCCCTAGCTACCAAAGCAACTGGCTCCCCCTCAGAATTATTCGTCATAGTTCTTCTATTCTATTCTGATTGCACCATGGCATAAACTTGTTGGATTGAAGGGAGATCTTTACTTTCTAGGATCTGCACCCTAATAGATTCATACATAGGGTTCAACCCCAAAAGAAAAGCAAATACCCGTTGTTGGGAAGTTGAGTTTTTGTAGGCTTTGGCATCCTTATCACATTTCCAATCCATATTCTGATAATGATTCAACTCCTTCCAGATTGAAGTTAGATCTGGATGGTATATTGAGAGATTTCTCTCCCCCTGTGTACAAGTCGAAGATGCAGCTTGCAACTGATAAGGTTTTGCATAGTGCATATGCTCTGAATAGGTGGACTTTGCCTGTTCCCAGATTTCAACAACTGTGTCAGCCCACATAATATTTTTTCTCACCTGTGGTAGCATAGATACAAGTAGCTATGACATCACCATACTATTTTCTTGGTCCCATTTATCATGTTCAACACCCCTAGACTTTGGTTCCTTAACCTTTCCATTAATGTATCCTATCTTACCTCTTGTAGTGATATAGAGTTTAATCCCCTTTGACCACTCTAAATAAATAATTAAGGTCATCAGTCATCTAGAGGAATAACAGCCATGGGAAATTTCATGTCTACCCCCCCAACTCAATCCATTGTGACTAGAAGAAACACCAGAAACAACTGTAGCCTCAGAGGACATGGTGAACCAATCAAAATTCACTATTCAGCTACAAAAAAAAGGAATTCATGACCACAAAGCTAGCAATTCTAGCACTGGACAGGACTGTGGGAAGTCAGAGAAATCACCACTACAGAGTCTACAAAGCAGTTCCGGACACAAGACAGGGCAAAAAAATACTGGAGAGGCCCTAGGATCACAGTGATTCCACTCTAAAGTCCATACAGTGACCACAGTCACCAAAAACAGTGCATACTATTGCTGTTACAGCAAGGACAGATCATACCTGATCTACAGACCCTACATACCTGGGGAATTCGGGTTTCGTCCTCACACTGTCCTCACAGCCTTTTGCAACCATGCATTGCAAACATCTCCATACTTGTATGTTTTTATTCATGGGGAGATATTCCCAATGCATGTCTACAAGGGTCTGTGAGTACAGTGTGAGGATGGTTTTGAGGACAAAATCCCATTTCATACCTGGGTACGAAGAGGATCATTCGAATTTCGATCCATACAAGTGTTGGGAAGCCACAAAAAACTTTCACAGCATTCAGCTGCCACAAAAAGAGTACTTCTCTTGGCACATGACCAAGAAATCAAAGAGAAAACAAGTGCAGAACTGCTCTCAGATCAATTTGATGTAGTTTTTTCTGAGATCGAACTGGAGATCAGCAAGAAAAAGAAAGAAAACTGGATTGATCTGTCTTGAGGTCTACAATATCCACTTTGATACCATGTTTTCTTGATGGAAGTAAGAGAAGAGGAGGAAAGGAGAAGGAAAGAAGGAAGAAGAGAGAAGAGAAAAGAGAAAGAGAGAAGCAAGATTGGAGGGTCGAAAAGTGGTAGCTGGTGGCACCAGCTTTTCATTATATACTAATGTGACATAACAAAATAATGAAAAGAAGTAAAAAGATTGTAGTGCCCCTGTGGCAAATATTACAAAAATATTAACAGATTTAACAAGGTGCAAAGCACTTAACTATTGTAGTTACATCATTTCACATTAAAAAAATTGTTGTCACTGTTACCAATCAAAAAAAATCTAAGACACTTGTGCTCTTGACATGTGATTAATAAAACAAATTTAAAAGGAAAGAACTTCATGTCTTGGATCCCTCCAATGAACAAAACCAATCTGAACTGTGACAGATGCTGTCTTGGACGCTTGGGAACCCTGGTGAATGAGATATAGGTGGTATTTTCAGAGATCATAGTGGGGACATTAAAGTGGCTTTTTCAATAGGAGCTGGCAACTCTATACTAGCAGAATTACAAGCTGAGTACATTTTTTGACTTCTGGGGGGCTGATCATCAAAGGAGAGTCAAAGACTATTATCTGCAGGTTGGAAAGAGAAATGTATAGGCCATGGAATATTAGACATCAGTCAGTGAAGAAAGGAATTCGGTGCTTGTTTTGGATGTTATTTTCTTTTTGACAACTAGGTCTACTAACTTACTTGCTGATCCATTAGTTCATGGAGTTAACAGACAGGTTTTAGTGTGGGGCGTTAACCTTTCAAGTTAAAAGGTCAACTTGTAGTCCTCGTTTTATTGGGTCTGCTTAAAGCAGTGGGGGAGCAGTGTGGGGCTGTCTGTGAGATTGGGTTATAGATCATATGGAAGTGCATAATACTGTGAGTGCATACTGTAAGTTTTTCTGTTACTACTAATAAAATCTTTCATTAGTTGCTGGAAAAATTTCCCAGTAACTGGTATTGAATGTAGTACTATTATTATCTCCAAAAAAATATTGAATGGAGTATTGTATTTATCCATATCACATTGAAATGGATGCCCCAAAGATGTGCTTTTTGAATTATGAAGCATTGACTGAACTATTTTCTTGACTTTCTTTGAAATGTTTCTCTTTCTTGTAGATTTTGCTATCACTGCAAATGCTTCGAGGAGGGGGTAGCAGTAAGAGGCGGCTTATTCTTTTGGTTGCTCTTGATTTCCTTGAAAGCATTGTAAGTGGCAAATCCATTTGGCAATATAATGTTATTGATGTGATCTTTACCTTGGGATCTGAACCTCTTATAATCCTGTTTGATCTTATTTAATAAAAGTTACTGTTTCCTATAAAAAATGTAATAAGAAATCAGGGTGATCTTATTCCTACTTTTTTTCATAGAACAAAGTTCATTTTACTGATGGGATAAACTGAAATTCTACTGCCACATATTGAGTTGATGAATAAGAAATCAGGGTGTATCACCCTGATCTCCACCGCACTAAAGATGTGATAGGGTCCATGAAAAGACATACTAACTGATAAGATTTAACATGCTTTTTTGTGGATCCTACCATGTCTATAGCAATTGCTGACTTTCTGTAGTGGGATGATGCACCTGGATATTGCTTAGAATTCCTTTAATTGAGTTGCAGCCCATAGGGATTCCAATTAATTACTTTTAACACGTTAAAATCATCTAAAGTAGTAGAGGATAAACTCATCCATTTTTTTTTTGATCAATAACACTTTCATTAATTCATCAGTAGAAAGTTTACAAGTGGAAGACAAACACACTTATCTTCCAAGAGTCACAAAGAGCTTCAAGAAAGGAAAAAAGAAAAAGACAAAGACACTAACGTTACAGCTTAGCCCAAAACAATGAATCCCTTTCTGCCCCTTGTTTAGCTAAACCGTCAGTTAGGGAATTAGCCGATCTTTTAA